AGAATTTACAATCTCATAAAAAATTTTACTTACTGTTTTTCACAGAAAGTTTGCAACTGTTCCCTGTTTTATTAATTTACTTTCTCCTATTTCAAAGGTTGAGTCTAAGATACAATAGATAATTTAAAAACAGACATGTAAAGAAGAAATATTTCAAATTATCCATAATATCATCATCCAGAGATAATAACTTTATAAATTTGTTGTATTTCCTTCCAGTCTCCTTCTCTACAAACTGTTACAAATATGTGCTTTAAAAATTGGTGCCCTGTTAGGTTACACTGTATGAAAATGTTGATATTCTACTACTCTTGACCTACAAACCCAGTAATTTCATATGATTTAACCTAGGACCACATGCACTACATATATATATATATTTATGACCATAATTTTACATTCTTCTTTTAAGACTTTACGTTAAATCATGAGCACCTTCCTATGTCTTATAAAATCTTCCCCATATGACATTTTATGGCTGGATGGTAGTTCAAGCAAATGGATATAAAAATTGAACCATTTCTCTGATGTTTGAAATTGACTTGTTTCCAGTTTTTCACCACTATAGATAATAATGGTATGAACATCCTTGTGCCTCATCTTCCTGTGAATCTGATTATCTCCTTAGGATAATTCCTAGAAGTAGGTTTTCTGAGTCAAAGTTTATGAATACTTTTAATCCTAAACATCTTCCTAAAATGAGTACCACAAAAGAACTAATTTACATTTCACCGTAAGTCAGAGGATGATTTTACAAATCATCTATAGTTTGTAAACAAATTCTTAAAAGAAAGGTAAAAAAGCTGCAAGGCAACATAGAAAAAGGGTAAAACAGGAAAACATTCTCAATATCATTGGTTACAACAATTTAGTATAACCAAGAATCATGTGTGAGGCTTATTTAAAAACAAAGATCTCTGGATCCTATTTCGGTGATTCTTTCAATGAGTCCTGATGTAAACTGGTACTTTTAACCACCATCCAAAGTAACAGATATAAGTGATCCCTGAACTACACCTTTTTTTTTTTTCCTGAGACAGGGTCTCACTCTGCTGCCCAGGCTAGAATGCAATGGCACAATCACAGCTCAGCTCTCTGCAGTCTTGACCTGCCAGGCTCAGAAGATCCTCCTATGTTGCTGGGACTACAAGCACATGCCACCATGCCTGACTAATTTTCCTGTATTTTTTGCAGAGATGAGGTTTTGCCATGTGGCCCAGGCTGGTCTCAAACTCAACTCAAGCAATCCATCTGATTCTACCTCCCAAAGTGCTAGGATTACAGTGCTCAGCCTGAACCACACTTTGGAAAACACTACTCCAAAAAGTACAAATATGCTTTATATGAATAATTATTTCCTATGAATTAGTGCTGAGTAAAAGAACAAATCACTTCTTATACAAGACTTTAAAAATTAGCTAATCATATAACATCTTCAGATAAAATTTGGCTTCATCTCTACACTCACAGCTTAATTGGAACTGCAAATACAAATTGAGTATCTCTTATCTGAAATGCTTGGAACCAGAAATGTTTCAGATTTGGGATTTTTTTTTAATATTTGCATTATACTTAGCAGGAATTTCAAAATCCAAAGTGCTTCTTCAATGAGCATTTCCTTTGAGCATCAGGCTGATGCTCAAAGTTTTGACATTGGTTCTGCTAATTCCTAGTTGTGTGATTTTTAGGAAAGGTATAGAACCTCTCTGAGCCTCAGTTTTCTCATCTTTAAAATTAATCATTAGAATGTCTTTCTCATAAATGACATAGCTAACATACAAGTGCTTAGTACAGGCCAGGCACAGTGGCTCACACCTATAATCCCAACACCTTAGAAGGCCAAGGTGGGCAGATCACTTGAGGCCAGGATTTAGAGACCAGCCCGGGCAACATGGAAAAATCATGTCTCTACTAAATATACAAAAAATTAACTGGCCATGGGGTCAGGAGCCTGTAATCCCAGATACTTGTGAGGCTAAGGCAAGAGAACTGCTTGAACCCAGGAGGCAGAGGTTGCAGTGAGCCAAGATTGTGCCACTGTACTCCAAACTGGGTGACAAAGCAAGATTCTGCCCTTAAAAAAAAAAAAGTGCTTAATACAGTACTTGGGCCAAAGTAAGGGTTCAGTCAGTCAACGTACAAACCATTTTGCCTAGGCAACAAAGATGACTGCACAAAGCTTATCTAACAGGCACATCTGGAGAGAACACCAATAACATAATGAACACCCTTCTTAAAAGGTGTTTACTAAAAAATATGCTAGGTAACTCCCTACTGACATTACCTTTGTTAGAAAGCTTAGAAAAAGGATGGCAGCACCAGATAATTTCTAGAATTACTATCCTACTTAGGAAATATTGGATATCAAAAAGATAAAACAGTATTCTTAGCAGAAACATGTTACCCATACCACCACCCCCCTAAAAAAAGAGACATGAAAAGTGAAAGAAGACATTTTAACATCACCTACAACTGGTTTAAGAAACTTCATCCTTTTTCCTAACTCCAACTTCTATAGCTTAAAGGTCAAGTATTCTAACTATTTCCCACTGGTAAGGGTAAATTAAAATTTTTTAATGGACATTTTTAAGGGAATGTTTAAAGGACTTTAAAATGTTCATACATAATTTGATCAAGGTTATCAAATAGATTAGTGGCAGAGTCAAATTAAACTCAACTCATGCCTGATCCAGGGCTCTTTAGAAAACGCAGCTCCACTGAGGCTAGAACTTCACACTGTCCATTTATTTTACATAAAATACTGTCTAATCATAGATCAATCACAGTTATCGTTCTAACTTTGATAAAAAGTAGTCAACACTCTGGTGTTTACTTCCTGGCCTCCTATTTGCTGAACCCATCATGAAAAGATGCTTTGATGTATGGCACTCCAGTAAAAGACATCCATGGTTAACTTGCTGGTGGTCCATCATTAAACATTTTCAATATATATGAAATTCGGAGACACCCTTGACCAAATCTCAAATGATATTAATGTGCTTATGTTCATCAGTGTTCACAAAAGGGTGTTTTCCCTGGAAGTCAGGAGAGTCTATACACTTTTTACCTATTAAATAATAAAAGATTACAAATACTAGTGTTTAAATCATATTCAATTTTCCATAATGTCTGAAGTATCTGAATGAAGAGAAATGTGCATGCTAGCACTGATAGCATTTTCAACTTTCTAGAAACACTAAAGTTTCAAACACTACGGGTGACTATTTGAGTACATCAAAAAGGAAAACTCTCTTAACATGGTAATTTGAATACTTTACATCATTATAATCTTATGCTCAATTTCTACTCTAGTAAATGGTTAATATTATTTAATTTTTATAAATGTTGTTAGATATGGTTGAGAGAAATGGTGTCTCTATCATGGCAAGAACATGAATAGGGAATGATAAAAAAATTCAGTATTTGTATGTGTCGGAGTCCGCATAAAACACTTTACATGAAGTAGAGGTATTGAAGAGGAACAGAAGGGAAGAGAGTGTTTTTTTCTAATATAGCACCATCGGCAAAATGTTTTAAGTAATCAAAGTCTTTGACAGCATCTGAGTTTCTACAACAGTAGTTCTATTTTACAGTTAGCAACAGTACTACACTTCTAGATTTGAACCAATTATTTGTTTAAAAGGCATAGAAGAGGAAAACAAAAATTATTTTAAAATAATCACTTTGAAATTTAGAATACTGGATATTAAATCTTTAATTTGCTATATTCTCAAATACTACTTTAAAATAGCTTTATATATCTTCATCAGTATCCCTTAAAAGTAATACAACTCACATTTCCTAAATGTTGTTGTCCTCATGAAACCACTAAGAAAGTAAAAGACCAAAAAAGGATGCAAAACAAATGTAGGACAACTCAAGAGATCAAGAACCTTACTATCATTCTAATATAATTACAGCTAGAGTTTGAAGCTAATGAAATTTACGAATGTGAGGAATATTCCACTTTCTTTAGATAACAGAGTTACCATAAACTCTCATATTTTAGAGATGTGCTCTCATGGTCAATACCAGAATATGTTGATGCTGAGCTAGGAATATGGAGCAGAAAGACTATGAGTTGATGAATGAAATAATATATAATCTCTACAATTTCATGAGGGCATGCAAGTTAACTACAAATTACCAAGGCTACCCACAAAAGTTGAAACAAATAAAATAAGAAAGAAAAACTTACTAATCTAATCTTTAAAATAAGTGCTGCTGCTTTAAGTGGCCAGCAGCCTCACATAAACTCCAGGCTGCAATCACAACATCCATTAGAGTGCTCCACAGCTCAGAGCAAGCAAGCAAGTGGTTGTCAGTGCAGCTAGTAAATCACCTGATCCTATTACAAAATCAATTACTGCAGTGCATTTCCATTGCTACACAATCTGATGATGACAAAATGATATTGGATATCTACTGCAAGGTCAAGAAAACTGCTAGGAATATCTTTAATTGGTCTTTTATCTTTAATCATTTGGTCCTAGTCATAATGCACTCATTTTCATGGCATATTTTTATTTGAAATAAATCTATGTAGTTACCTTTGGTTGCCTGGGACATTCGATGGATAATCTCTGCAACTGGTCTGATTTATGGCTACAAGAGAACAAATCGGAGCAGCAGGTCGAACGGCTCAACCTCTTCATTAAAGAAGAAATAATGCTGCAGCCACAGCCACACATTGACTTGCTCATTAGATGAGAATCTGACTTAAAAAATCAGAACTGGTGATGTCACATATATACTCAAAATTGTCAAACTGCCTCATTCTGCAGCTCTCTAGCTGAACGAAACACTGCTAAAAGAATGAAACAACAGCTTTGCTACAGAAGATGCCAGACACAAAGTCATCACCAAGAAAAACTCATTATTAAAAACAGAAGTCTCCTAGCTACTCTTTAGAAAGAAGGTAAGGTGCTTTAATATTTTAAATTGTTCTATATTAAAGCCCTAGTACTTAAAAAAGGAACAAACTCAAGATAAGACACCCTGAAATTATACTAACCACTTTCCGTCTTCCTTCAGTTTAGATCTATTTGCCTACTCCTTCAGCTCAGCCTATCCAACCTGTTCCCTCTGTAAATGCACACTATTTCAACAACCAACAGGAATGAGCTCCACCCCTCCCCATCGCCACACACACTGTTCAAGAACCGTTCAATATCTGGAAAAGAACTGCTGCTGCATTGCTTTGAGAAACAACAGGGAGCAAATTACTGGACGGATTCTTTAACTTACCAATCAGAACTGCTGACCTTTTATGACTCTACAATTCAAGAAGCCTGCCAAACACTCACAGTAAGAATGATCAACAAATTTTACTTCTATATTATATATTAATTTACAGAATTGTTTTCAATCTTATTATTCAATCTATAATACAAAAATATAGGCCTAAGTATTTTAAAATAAACAAAATGTAGACAGGAGCTATTACAAATCTTTGAGGACTGATAAGAGAGGGTAGGAGGGTAACTGAATAAGATATGCAAGCAAAAAATTCCCTCTGAATACTTTATGTAGACTTGAGAAGTAATGAACAATAAAAATCTATAGCAAAAATACTGGTGCAGATAATAATGTAATAAACAAGCTGGATACAAGGAGGCTCTGGGTATCATAAATGTTATAAGAGTTTTAATGAGAAAAAAGGACATATGGCTATATAGGTAGGTATTGACAGTAAGTAAAAAGCCATCAAACACCTCACTGTTTTGATACTGAATTTTCTCCCACTTGCTTATCTGCATTTCATTTAAAAGATTTTTTTTAAAAACCACATGCCATCCTGAAAACATAAGCAACAATATTAAGTCTGTTAGCTATAATACCTTTTATATTTAAGCATTCTACCTTTGCCAATGCACAAAGGTATTTGTTTACACCACATAATTAATCCACATTACAATTTCCAGGACAAGGGAGGGTCACATTAATACAAATACTTTATAGTCTTCCCAAATAATCATACTTCAAATTACTGTAACTTAAATGAACATTCATAGACCAAAGATTGCTAATGTAATAGCACCCATTTTGGGGAAAGACAGTCTAAAAACTAAATGTAATAATAAAAACCTTAAATTAAAGGATGTATTTTAAAACTTCCTATTGTCTGTGGCACTGAAAGGTTTCTTATTTGCATATGTAACATGCTCAGTTTCTTCCCTGGTTTAAAGCTGAAAAGATCCAGCACTGCCTCTGCCTTCACCTTGCACTGCCCTTTTGATATTCATGTTATACTTAAATCAATTTCCAGAATATCTAAAAACAGGCATGCACTTCCCATTCCATTTTTTTAAAATCCTTTGTAGATAAAGGCTATGGAAACAAACAAGAAAAATAATGCAGTAACCTTTTACTCGCCTGCTGGAGGTACTGTCTGCTGCACAGAATTTTAAATCCTCATCTGCAGATGCAATTGAGCTGGTATTGCCAAGAACTTGCTTTTCCCGTGCTGCTGCTACACAGCTACTCATCGAAAGAGCACATTATGTAGAAAATCTGAAGTACTATCAAATCTGAAGTTTAAGTTTCTTAAATGATTTAACAAAAGTACTTCTAAAATCTAGCTATACTCCCCCTCCTCTGTTACATTTTCAGATGCATGCCAGACACGTTAGGGAAAAATGTCCTGGTGCTGCTGATGTACTCCTAGCAAATGGGTAAAGAGGCTAAGAGTAGTAACGAAAAAATTCATACATCATGCTAATGTAAAAACAAGACAGCAGCCCATTAAAACTTGGTAGGATTTGTGCTGCCAAAAAAAATTTATAACCTGCCCAAAATAATTTGATATTTGTATTAGTTTTCTAATTAACAAAAGCCTACAAATACATTATGTGTCTAATATTACCAACAAGCATCAATTAAAAATCCCTGTCATACTGCTATTAGTGAAAGTAAGTTATCTTACTAGCTATTCAGTCTTCATCACTATTGTTTCAAACTATGAAATAAAAGATTTGAAGTTACAGAATACTTGTGAAATAGCTTTACTTGCAATGTTTCTTCCTCCTCATCCCCCACACCAATATCCCTTGGATCTTGTATTAATAATTATAACTGAGAGTATAAGCAATATGGGGTATTTTCATTATTTATCATTTTCCTTCCATATCAGGTAATTTGATGCACAGTACTACTGATTCTTAGGTTGCAAACAGATGAAGCTGGAAGGCAAACCAACAAAGATAAGGTTTAAAAATTACTAAAAAAGCAGCATAATATTGCTTTGAAAAACTTTATAATTAACTTTTCTAGGTATAGATAAAAGAGGAAAGAACATTAATACTTGCTCACTAATGACAATTAAGCATCTTGTGTATTTCTTCAATAAACTAATACATTTTAAAGCTGCTTTCCCCCTTAATGGCAAGTAACTGTCAAAACTTGTTTTAAAAATATTTAACAATCCATTTCTATCAAATAATTTTCATTTCCTTAAGATACAGGGTGATCACTCCTCTTAAATCGTAGGCTAAAAGATGTGAAATCTATAAACAAAACACTAAAACATGATATCCTTCCTCAATGCTCAAATTTATTTGCATAAGTAAGCATAAGCTAATTTTTACAGTTCCCCTAAAGGTAAAAATGTATCAAAGAATCCAGCTCCCAGAGGCTGAGTTGGGTGTGAGCATACTGCTTGAGCCCAGGAGTTTGAGAGCAGCCTGGGCAATATGGTGGATCCTATCTCCACAAAACATACAAAAATTAGCAGGGCATGGTGGCACTTGCCTATAGTCCCACCTACTTGGGAATCTAAATTGGAAAGATCGTTTGATTCCAGGAGGTAAAGGCTGCAGTAAGCCGTAGCTGCACTTCAGCCTGGATGACAGAGCAAGATCCTGTCTCAAAAAAAAAAAAAAAAAAAAAAAAAAAAATCAAATAAAAACTTTGGCAACTGACACTGTATTTTGAAAATAATTGTTTCATTTGAAAACACTATTTGTCACACACAATACACAGCATTGCAGAGATGACTCCGGCAAGTTTCAAAATATGAACCCTGGGTGTTCCTAAGACACTTACATGGAATCTATAAGATCAAAATTATTTCTATAATAATACTAAGATATTACTTATGTTTTTTACTCTGTCTCTTGTGTATACACAAAGTTTTTGTCAGAGTATATAGCATGCAATATCCTAACAAACTGAATACAAAAGCAGATATGAGAATCCAACTGTTTTTCTGCAAGCCAGACTTTAATTGTATAAACATGTAATTAGCTGTTATTTGTAAATAAATTTAATAAATGAAAACTGTTTAAACTTCTCAGATTTATTTTCTAATATGATAAATATTAAGAGATATAACCCACATAAATCAAAGCTTTTTGTAGTCTCCAGTAATTTTTAAAAGTTTAAAGAGGTCCAGAGAGCAAAACAAATTTAGAATCACTAAAAATCTTTGCTTACATTTTTTCCTTAAAATACAGTGTTGGGGCCAAGCATGGTGGCTCACACCTGTAATCCCAGCACTTCAGGAGGCTGAGGTAGGCAGATCAAGAGACAGAGACCATCCTAGACAACATGGCGAAACCCCATCTCTACTAAAAATACAAAAAAAGAATTTTAGCTGGGTATGGTGGCCTGTGCCTGTAGTACCAGCTACTCAGGAGGCTGAGGCAGGGGAATCACTTGAATTAGGGAGGTGGAGGCTGCAGTGAGCTGAGATCACGCCACTGCACTCCAGCCTAACAACAGAAGGAGACTCCATCTCAAAAAAAATGCAAAGTACAGTGTTGGTTATTAAAATAACTTCAGTAATTTTAAAGCAGTGATTTAAAAAATACTCACTTTTGCAAGTATAAAATGTTTCTGAATTTTCACTGTCATTTTTAAAACCCAACTATTAGTCATCTTGATTGTTGAGCACAATTGTTATCAGCTGTGTCTCACAGTAGTGTTAAACACTAACATCTTTTTTAAGCAGAACAACAACTACGGTAGTCCATGGAGTAAAATTTAAAAATCTAGCTTATAACTACACAATGAAAAAGAAAGACGATCAGTTGTTAGGAAAAGATAAATGTGACATTATATATTTTTAATATAAAAAGAAATTATAAGAACACCTTCTAAAATTCATCTTGCCTGTACAAATCACTAGTTTTAAGTAACTGTTTTTTCCTGAGAAGAAATACATAAACTTTAAATAGAACCTCAAGAAGGAACTGCCGTGCAGTAATAAATAAATTAGGAGGAAAAATACTTTTAAGAATATATTAACAACAATTAGAGAAATTACAGTATAAAAACTTAATTAATGTCTGGGTGCAGTGGCTCATGCCTGTAATCCCAGCACTTTGGGAGACCGAGGTGGGTGGATCACAAGGTCAAGAGTTCAAGACCAGCGTTGATGGTGAAACCCCATCTCTACTAAAAATACAAAACTTAGCTGGGCGTGGTGGCACATGCCTGTAATCTCAGCTACTTGGGAGGCTAAGGCAGAGAACTGCTTGAACCAAGGAGGTGGAGGTTGCAGCAAGCTGAAATCACTCCCCTATACTCCAGCCTGGGCAGCAGAGTGTGGCTCCGTCTCAAAAAAAAAAAAAAAAAAGAAAAAGAAACAATTAGCCAGGCGTAGTGGCACATGCCTGTAATCCCAGCTACTTGGGAGGCTCAGGCAGGAGAATCACTTGAACCTGGGAGGCGGAAGTTGCGGTGAGCCAAGATAGCACCATTGCACTCCAGCCTGGGTGGCAAAGCGGGACTCCACCTCAAAAACAAACAAACAAACAAAACCTTAATTACTTTATGCTGAGGATATGTTAAATGCTTGACATATTAAAGCTTTACAGTCAGAGAAGATGATTTCTTATCCTAATTTCTATGTATTAGCCCACATTTTCCCTTGTAAATCCCACCGAGTTAATTTTCAAAGGAGTTCTCCTTGGTTCTGTCCTTAACCAAACCCCATGTCACCCCATGTCTTCTAGAACTCTGGTCTATTCAATCTATTCAGTCATTAAAATATTTACTCAGCACCTACCACATGCTAGGCAGGTATAGATAAGGAAGATGCGGCCATACAAAAATAGGCAAAACTCTCTCCTGCCTTGTTTGAACTTTTATATTTCAGGGAGAAGGTACATAAAAAACAAATCTTTTTCTAGTAGATGTTGACAGCAGGTAAGGAGAAAAAATACAAGAGTAATGAAATGGCCAGGAAATGCCTCATTTTCTTAATGAAATGTAAATCAAATTTTTAAAGATGTAGGCACATTTTTAAAATGTTGAAAGAGTGGTGGCGGCAAAAACGTGGTCAATGGAAAAACATTTAAATATTT